TAATTATAATAGCAGGTACATGAAGGATCAAACACTGTCTGTTAAATCACTTTTGTTCATGTTTAGCCAGAAAAAAAATGTGTAAACCCACACCAGCTTTAAGAGATTAGGAAAATGTGTTTTCCCATATTCTGGGAAATAGATAAAATCTGGATATTGGTAAATAGCAGTTATTTCTACCAAGAAAAAATAGGAATGAATCAAGTTTGAATTTTTCCTCAAAGAGGTTGGAATCTAATAAAGGACATAACCCAAAGTAATTGTATTTTAAGATAGTTTTTTGTTTTGTTTTTTGTAGAAACAGGGTCGCACTATATTGCTCAGACTGGCCTTGAACTTCTGGCCTCCAGCTATTCTCCTGACTCTGCCTCCCAAAGTGCTGGGATTATAGGTGTGAGCTACTGTACTTGGCTAGTAGTTCATGATAATAAATGTTAAGTGACAAGAGAGTCAAAGTACTGTAGGATGTAAAGGAAAGTTGAAAATTTGAAAAATCTTCACGAAAGATGAAAAGGCTTCGTGAAAGAAGCTGTAAAGATTAATTACAGCTAGATAATACAGAGTCAGTTCTTATCTAAGTTAAGACATCTTTAAGTTAGGGTTCTTTATTATTATTATTACTACTATTACTACTGTTGTCGTTGTTGCTTTGGTATTACCAATAAGACCGTAAGAAACACCTTTGTATATATTTCTTTCTTTTTTTTGTTTTTTTGTTTTTTTGAGTTGGAGTCTCACTCTGTCGCCCAGGTCAGAGTGCAGTGGCACGCTCACGACCACCGCAGCCTCCACCTGCTGGGCGCAGGCAATCCTTCTGCCTCAGCCTTCCAAGTAGCTGGACCCACAGGCATGCGCTACCACACTTGGCTTATGTTTTGATTTTTGAATTATTGTAGAGATGAGGTCTCACCAAGTTGCCCAGGCTGGTCTCGAATCCCTGAACTTAGACAATCCTCTCACCTCAGCCTCCCAAAATGCTGGGATTACAGGCTTGAGCCACTGTGCCTGGCCTATATATATTTCTTAGTAAATTTTTCTGAGTATACCCATAGGAAATATTTCCAAGAGTAGAATTGATTATTGACTGTAAGAGTTCACTTCATAGTTAAACTTGAATTCAGATTGCCTATTTACCTTCCAGAAAGTGTGTATTCTCCCAAAAATTGTATGAAAATATCTTTCCTAACACCTCTTATCAACAGGGTGCCTGAATGAAACGTAATTGTACACCTAACCCTTAACTGTACCCCACAAAACCGTAATAAAAAATATTGATTAATAAAAAAAAAGAAAAAGAAAATATCTTTCCTCACATTCTTAATCAGCAATGGATTTTTTTAAAGTTTCTGATTTTCACCAGTATAAGTTAAAAATGGTACAAATTTGATTTTCATTTTTTATTAGTGAATAAGATAAGGTATTTTGATGTGTGATTTTTAAGCATTGTGTTATTTCTCATAATTTGCTTTCTTGTTCATATCTTATTCTTTTTTACTGGGTTGAGTTCCTGTTAAAGATTGATTTTTATGCGCATTTCATAAATTGTGAAAATATTTTTTATGGCTTATATTGTACATTTGATTTGTTTTTTTTAAGTTCTAGCCATAGAGAAAATTTTCATTTTTATTTATATGTAGGTTTTTGCTTTTTCTCTTTTTTTTTTTTTTTGAGTTGGAGTCTCACTCTGTCACCCAGACTGGAGTGCAGTGGCCGCTCCCGGCCACCGCAGCCTCGATGCTGGGCTTCAGCGATCTTTCTGCCTCAGCCTTCCAAGTAGCTGGAACTACAGGCACGCGCTACCACACCTGGCTAATTTTTTATTTATTGTAGAGATGAGGTCTTGCCAAGTTGCCCAGGTGGGTCTCGAACCCGCGGGCTCAGGCAATCCACTCACCTCAGCCTCCCAAGGTGTGCGATTACAGGCTGAGCCACCGGGCCCAGCTTGCTTTTTCCCTTCTATGTTTGTATCTAAATATAGATTTAGATACATTTTTAGTATAATTACTCATAATTTATTTTTGACGTTTTATTATTTTACTTTTAACCTTTAAACTTTTGGGTTTTGGAGTAAAGCTAGATAAGCATTTTTTCTTTTTTCCATAAACGAATAGCCAGTTGCCATAACAATATCTATGAAGTTTCATTTTTATTCTCCATTTATTTGTAAAACCATCTTTATAATTAAATTCCTATTTTCATCTGAGTCTGGTGTTTTGGCTTTCTATTCTATTCCATTGATCTGTCTATATCTTCTTTACGCAAAATTGTTTTAATTATTGTCACTTCATAATACGACTTAATATTGGCAGGGCTAGTCCTTCCTCATTCTTTAAAATCAAAATTTTCCTGGCTATTCTTGAATACTTATTTTTCCAGATAAATCTTAGTATCTTTCCTTCAATGTCTTAGAAATTCCTATTCATATTTCAATTCAGATTCCTTTGAATTTACAGATTAATTTTAGAAGTGTTGACATCTCTCCGTTACTGAGTTTTTCTATTCAAGATTATGGCTTATTCTTTTTACTTCAGTATAGAATTTTTTTGTATTAGTCCTGAACATTACTTAATTTTACGTTACCTAGGAACTTTTATTTCTTTTGTTCCTTGTGTAAGTTGAACCTTTTAGAAATCTATTTTATATTGGTTATTTATACATAAAAAGCTAATTATTTTGTATATTAATTTTTTAAAACAACAACTAGTTAGTTTATCTTATGCTTTTAGGGTATTAGCTGTATTGGCATATTAGAAGTATAATATTAACAATAATTTTTCTTCCTTTTATTTTATCCCTCTTCTATGTTTTGTCTAAATATGTTGGCTAATCCAGGAAAAAAAAATTAAAATAGTGCTGATACCATGTTACTTTGTTTTCATTTTAAGTCTCAAACTGGCACAGACACTTCTAGTTCAGGTTAGTGGCTATACTAGTAGTGTAACTCTCTCAATAGCATACTGTGTGCGCGTATGTGTGTGTGTGTGTATTTGCAGTTTTGTGTTTTTGACTTTTGATTCCAGCCAATAGCAGCATCCACAATCCTGCTTTAGTAACATCTCCCTCTCTAAACTTAATAATAGGTGACTTAAGTTTATCAGGCAATCACTACACTTTTTTTCTTTTTTGTAGACCATATTGTCCAGATTGAAAGGATTTATTGGACCCATCTTAATGGAATCATAGATTTTAAGAGTGGTCTTTATATCCACACCCTTGATTTCATCCTTCCCAGAGGCTGAGATTTAATTGGACTTTATTAGGCTTTTATTTTTTAAAGGGATTTTCCAGTTTCATTATTTACTTGTTTCTCCCAATTCTAGCATTTTTAAACTTGGTCACCTCCTTTTAATTGCTACTTGCAGCATGGCCAATTATTTTCTTGTATTTTTGAAAAATATTACCTTGCCAAATACTGCCAATAACAATCAATTTATAATACTAACATTCTGTTTTTTTCGATTCCTTATCTCTAGCTGTAAGTTCATTTGATACATTAATTACCTTTGCAAGTTATTATAAGCAAATTTTTTATCAAGCATTTCACTGTTGTATTACACGAGACATCATTTTTACAACCTTCAATAATTATTTTTTATTGCTCACTAACTGGTGTCAAAGCAAATGCCATATGTACTTTCTAATGTTGTTTTGGCAGTCTCCTGTTTCTTATATATCAAGTAAATTAACTTAGGCTAAACTACAATGCAGAAACAAATGACCCAATGACTCAGAGGCCAACACAAGAGCCATTTGTCTTTTAAGTTACATGCTCATCATGGATAGTCTTTGACTCAGCTTCTGTGTCTTCATTATAAGTAAACCTTATAAATAACTTGTTTGAGTATAATGTGTTTAGGTTATATTCTTTGTGTTCTGTATTTTGTACATATGAGAAGGACCAACTTCCAAAAATGAATTATCTTTTGGAGGTTGGGTCCCTTGTAGCACAGACTTTCCCTGCTAGGTAAGTGCTCTAGGAACCCATTGGCATTAGCGTATGAGCTAGCATTGCTGTGAGAAACTTTGTTCAGCTTCAGGTAAGTTTTTTTTTTTAGATTCTTTCAGTGCGTTTGTTCATTTCATGTGGGTGATTTAAGAGCGCACCTGCCCACACTGTGCTAAGTGTTCAGCAGTTTTTGACCAAAAATGACATGACACTCTCTGTTTACCAGTCTTTCCCCGAGTGCCTTTTTTTGTTTCCTTAAATGAAAAAAAGCCCTCAAAGGGAAACATTTTGCTGATATGGAAGAGGTGAAACAAAAAGCAGCAGAAATACTAAAGCCATTAAAACTGATGAGTTCAAAAATTGTTTTGAATAGTGGAAAAAGTGTCTGAATAGGTATTTTGCATCACATGGAAAATACTTTGAAGGTGACTGATGTTTAGACATGTAAGAATAAGTACCCAAGTTTTTATAAACTCTGGTTATTTTTGGTCCCCCTCCATATTGTTTCAGTATTCCCCAACAATTTTGACCACAGTTTCTTTCTCTGCTCCCCCCAACTGATTTATGTTGATATGACTACCATACCTTTTACTTATATGTAAAAATCTTGCTTGTGCACATAAGGATAGCTTTGTCCAGACCCTGTATTTTTTTCTGCCACAATGTGAGTGAATGCTATTAATCTTTCTACTTCGTCTAAGATCTGTTTGCCATCACCAGTAAATGAAATTTTGGAGATTATGTCTTCTAGAATCTGTAGCCAGTGAATGGAAGTCTTACCTAGGAGTTGTTTTCAGAATAGATGATGGCTCATTAAGGGTGGAATCAGTATTGCTGTTAAGATTCTTCTACCTCAAAATATTTTTCTGATCCTAAGTAAGCCCTAATAAATGGGTATTAATCTTTCATAAAGATAAGGTTTGATGCAGATATGAATTTAACTGTTTGCAGAATTATTTCAATGAATTTTGACAAGGGTGATGTTGAAGAATATAAGATGATAATATTTAGGCTGAAATATTACTTCTTTAATTAATTTCACTTTTATTTTTAGGGTGACCGTGGACTTCCTGGTTTTCCAGGGCTTCATGGGATGCCAGGATCAAAGGTTGAAGAAATTTATTCCTTTTAGATATAGTGATGCCATGTTTTAATTCTTGTAATATCAAAAGTACTTTGATATTACAAGTGTTATAAATAAATGTTCATATATAATTAAATATATACATATTAAAGTAAATGGGCTAAGATTTATACCAGTTAACATAAAACTAAAAAATTCCCTCTAAAGTTGTTAATGTGTAATCTTATAGTATTTAAAAACTGATGAATAAGTTTTACTATATACAAGTTCTCTCAACTATAAACCCTAAATTATAAACCCTATTATAATACTAATTGTCCTTATTTTTTTAATAAAGCCTAGACAAGATGAATTTTATGAACAAACTTTAAATTATTTTATTTCTTTTTTCTTGCTTGTGGCATATTAAACTCAGTTTATAATCTGTGTTTTTCCTTTGTAAGGAAAATATTCATATTTCTCTAATATTCAATATTTATTTTTTATCTTTTAGGGTGAAATGGGCTTCAAAGGAGAAAAAGGATCACCAGGAATTTATGGCAAAAAGGGAAGTATAGATCACACAACAAAGTATCTGTCTTGAACTTTTAGTGTAAGGGAAATAAAAAACTTGAATTGTAGTTACAGCCCAATGTTAGAACAATTAGCTTTGATCATCCTTCTCAGAGAATTAATTTAATACAATTTTTAAAAGAAAGAAAAGAACTGGTAGGGTCTATATATGGTATTCTTTAGGACTATGTTGTATTATTGATCTTTCTGAACCTTTGAAAGACTTATGGTGAGAGATTCTTTGAGATGTAGCTGCTTAAAAGCATGTTTACTGAGAATGTTATGGATCTTTCTATTTTATATACACGGAAGTTACATCCTCCATGTGTTTAAAATACTCATTTTTATTTTGCCAAGATGTGGTTTCTGGGTCTAGATGTTTGTAATGATAATTCTGCATCTATCATCATTTTAAATGTGTTCACATTGTATCCACTGGGCTGATCAAATAATGCTTTGCAGAGCCAAGATGAGTTGTAGTTCCATGAATTTTCATTACATAGTGAGGTTAACTTATTAGCTTTCCTATTTAAGTTTGAGTTGGAACTTGAAATCATTGCAAAGCTGTTTTTAAGTGTTTGTTCTTAATACAGGGTGCAAAAGGTGAAAAGGGGAATGCTGGTTTCCCTGGCCTTCCTGGACGTGCTGTGAGTTTGATAGAATAAACTTCTTGAGTATTTCACTTTAAATAAAGAATGTCTTATAGTATTTTTAAAAAGAAAAGTTAGTGCAAAAATATATTGAAGTACATGTATATATTTTTCAGGGAGAGCCAGGAAGACATGGAAAGGATGGATTAATGGGTAGTCCTGGTTTCAAGGTACTTACAAAAAAAAGATTTTTGTATCTTGCGAGTGAAAATTAGAAAATTATATTCATATTTGCATTTTTTAACATATGGCATTTGTATAAAATTAATTACCTGAAAGGTTTAAGTGTAATTTTAATACGATACTGAATTTCTTGAGTTTACTTTGAGTTCTTATGTGTCAGAAATGAAATCAGAGGATATTGCAAGGTTGATCTTCTTTGATTAGTCTTTCAGATTGGTTTGTTTGGTGAGTTAGAGGCAGAAGTTTTTAGCTCTGTCTCTCAAAGAATTAAAGTTTCAGGGAGGAAAACATTATCCCTCTTAATCCCAACAACTTCTTTATCAGTTGTGTGGTATGAGTATGAGATAATTAGAGTAAGGGGAATTGCAAAGTGCCATTCATTCACTATTCCTGAAAAAACTCAAAGACCTATGGCCTTATGATGGGGATCAGTACCATCATATACTTAAACTTTGGACTTAGCTGGTTCAAATACCTAAGGAGAGAGTTTGCATAATACATCAGAGCTGAAGAGGCCACTTGGTCAAGTATTGGACTTAGGGATATATTTCCTAATGGTCAGTACTTTGAAGCTCAGAAGTCTGGACCAAATTATTTTGGTCTTTAGTTTTTTCTCTTCCTTTGGGAATATTGTACACTAATTTGCTTCAAGTGCTGTAAAAGTGCTCCAAGTAGTCATTATTCCTTAAAGATTATAGACTTCCTAAAATAATAGTAGCCTGAGTATAAAATATGGAGGCCATTTTATTATTTATTTATATTTTTTCCTTTTTTTATTTTAAAGATATGGGGTACAATTCAGGGTTAGGTATACAAATGTTTATTATACAGGTACCCTTGTTGATGAGGTATGCCCCTCCTTCCCCTTGCCGTCTCCCTCAACTGCCTATCCCATACCCCCTCCCCTGGCAGTTTCCCACTACTACCAATCCCTTTCTTATAGTATTATGATAATTGATCAAGGTCCACTTATGAGTGAGAACATGTGGTACTCTGTTCTTTGTTTCTGTGATAGATCACTGAGTATGAGACTCTAAATCCATCCAAGTTGCTGCAAAGTCCATATATTTGCCCTAATTATGAGCATAATGTTCCATTGTGTATATATACCACATTTAAAAAATCTAATTCAGCTTCAATGGGCAGCACGGTTGGTTCCATGTTTTTGCTATTGTGAATAGAGCTGCAACCAACATATGTGTGCAGGTATCTTTTCTGTAGAATGATATGTAGAATGAATTTTTTGTAGAATGAATGTAGAGTTCCTCTGGGTATATTCCCAGAAGGGGGATTGCTGGGTCATAATGAAGGTCAATTTCTAGTTCTTTCAGAAATTGCCACACTGTCTTCCAAAGAGGTTGCACTAGTTTGCATTCCCACCAGCAGTGTAGATGCATTTCTTTTTCTCTGCATCTTTACCAACATCTGTTGTTGTTTGTTTTATTAATGGTGGCCATTCTTACTGGTGTAAGGTGGTATCTCAATGTGGTTTTGATTTGCATTTCTCTGATGATGAGTGAGGCTGAGCACTTTTTCATGTGTCTGTTGGCTGCCCATATATCTTCTTTTGAGAAGTGTCTATTCATGTCTTCTGTCTAGTTTTTAATGGGGCTGTTTGTTTTTTTCTTTTCAGCACGTTTGAGTTCCCTATAGATCCTAGATGTTAGGCCTTTGTCAGATATACAGTTGGCAAATATATATATTTTTTATTATGATATTGTGGGGTACAGTTAAGGGTTAGGTATATAAATACGTTTCATTCAGGCACCCTTCTTGATAAGAGGTGTTTCCTCGTCCCCAGACAGATATTTGCTGTTAATCCCATCTCCCTCCTCCCCGCCATAGTTTCCCACTACTGTCAGTCATTTTCTTATATTATTACATTGGATGTTCAAGGTCCATTATATGAGTGAAAACATGTGATACTCGGATCTTTGTTTCTGTGAGAGGTCACTCAGTATTATAGACTCTAGTTCCATCCAGGTTGCTGTGAAATTCATGATTTTGTTCTTTTTTATGGCTGCGTAGTATTCCATCGTGTATATGTACCACATTTTTAAAATCCAGTCCTCTTTTGATGGGCAGCATGGTTGCTTCCAGGTTCTTGCTATTGTGAACAATGCTGCGATAAACATACATGTGTAGGTATCTTTTTTATAGAGTGATTTGAGTTCTTCAGGATATATTCCCAGTAGGGGGATTGCAGGGTCATATGGGAGGTTGATATTTAGAGCTTTTAGGAATCGCCACACTGCTTTCCATATAGGTTGCACTAGTTCACACTCCCACCAACAATGTAGAAGTGTTCCCTTTTCGCCACACCCTCTCCAACAGGTGTTATTTTTTGAGATGTTGATAATTGCCATTCTGACTGGAGTTAGGTGGTATCTCAGTG